AACAAGCCATAAACAAGTAAGTAGTCTTTTAGATTTTCAGTACCTAGAGATAATATTTTTTAAACCAAATTTGAGTCATTTTCTATAGCTAATAAAAATGAGACTTATTTTCACTAAGAATGTCAAGGACTTCACTGTGTTTTTCTGTACAGGAAACTCTATTACCAGTTTCTTGCATTTCCTTTCAGTGAAATCTATGCATATATCTTTATATATGCTATTTTCACCTAAAAATGATAAACTTCACCTTTTCAACCTCTTGCTTTTCACATAACCATAAATCTTGAAATCAAATAGGTTCAGAATTTGTGTGGGGAGCCTAGTGGTGAGAGTCTTGTGGAGCTAGAGGTTTGGAGGATTTGAGGGAGGACACTTGCTTAAAAGTCTCCTTTCCTAAGAGAGCACATTGCTATTAGGGTTCAGATAGATGCAGTTAGCCAACAAATGGCAGGGGTAACGAAGCATGCTTTTATTCCACTTCACTCAGAAAATATTTGCTGTGGGTAAAAACAAAAATTGTTCATATTATTTTGGTTTTTCATGGTTTGTATGGAGCTACAGTAATTTGGCTATTGAGTTTCTGAACGAGAGATTTTTTGGTAGTTTCTTGTTGTTTGCTGTCACAAAACAATGCTGCAATAAACATCCTTGCAAATATGACTTTATTCACATATGTGAATATACTCTTACTCCAGTGTATTAGCAAGCTTTCCCATCACGGGGACCCAATACCTGACACCTACAACATAAGAGAGGAGAGGTTTAATTTGGCCATAGTTCAGGGGATTCAGTTCAGGGTTTCCTGCCTGTAAGACACAAACATCATGGTAAAAAGATATAGCAGAGCAAAGTTGCCTAACTCACAGCCTCCAGGAAATAGCAGGAGAACAGTTGCAGAGACGAAGAGCTGAGGCACCAGACATAGACTCCAAGTCCACACCTCCATGCCCCACTCAGGAATACCCATGGAATGCTCCACCAAACCCCTGGGTAGATCCCAAAGCAATCAAGTTGGCACTCTACCCTAAGAGCCACATTCAAATTACTAGAAATTGAAGTACTTAGGCCACAACATAATACTCATAGATATCACCATCAGTGACCCAAGCCAGGAGTTCGGGGAACCTCTGTAAACTGGGGTGCTCCTGGAGCCAGTGGCTTTGCTTTGGGAAGCAGAGTAGGAGATCAAGTTCCCCTAGAGGATTGGCTCTGCCACTTTTCATGTAATACTGAGATGCTGTTGGGTCCAGGCCAACTGTGCCTTTGAACACATGGTTTTCCTTTGGCAAGTGTGGCTTGTTGGGCCTGGTTCACTTTGGTCATCATTGAATTCCAGTTGACCCAGGCCAGAGAATCACAAGGCTTCTGTGAATGAGGTGTTAAGCTTTGCCCAAAGCCCAGTTGCAAGCTACTTTTCCAAGAAAGTTTCCCAGTGTCATGAGACAGGTGCATACAACCTTTGGTCTGTCTGGGGAATGGAGAGGCCTCTCTATACAGTGGCTGAAGTCAGGATGAAGGTAAAGGCAGTAAGGAGAGAGGATATGAAAGTTGGAGGGCTCCCATGCCAGGAAGTAAGATATTTGCATTCAATTCGAGCAGATTTTGGATAGGTACCAGCTCACAGCTCAACCAAAAGAACTTGTAATGATTTTGGCCTACCCAAAATACTGTTGAATTTATTTCAACTTTGGGGATGCTTTGGTTCATGAGCCACAGCTTCAGTGCCTTTTACCTGGTGCCGCAGAGCTTGCTTCCCATTGTCATGGTAACTATTACGAACCTCCCCCCCTCCCAGAGAATAGAGTGCAATGGCCAAGCATTATTGGGGCGTCTCATTTCAGTCCTCCCACTGCTGGGCCTCAAAGCATCCATTAACTGGGAGCACAACGAGGGCCGCTCCCTACACCCCTCCTTCTTGCCCAGGGTTTGTTTTCAGATGCCAGAGGGTCCTGTCATATCCCCAAATTTGGCCTGCAGGACTCTACCTTTCTCCGACTGACATTCACATGTAAGTCAGTATCCTGTGATTATCACCCAAACTATTAAGAATTGTGAAGGATTTGAGATTCTCTAATTTTCAAGCTAGCAAGTCAGTCTTCCCCAGTTATATTGATGTAAAAGAATTCATGGGACTCCTAATCAAAGACAAAAGACTTTATTGCAGCATTATAAGCACTATGAGCACCAGCCTACATTTGACAGCTTCCTTTGTCTCCAAACCCTGTGGAAGTGACACAGATGGCCACAAATACAAACTATACAAGCCATGCATGCAATCATTTGCATTCCAGGAAAAGGAACTCTCCACATAGAGAATGTGAATATTTTATAAGACAGTAAAGTATGTCTTCCTTTTTTTTCTTCCAGAGGGAAACGTTTTCTTTATTACAGTGGATAGTAAGCATGCCATCTCTGTCATTCAAAGTTATTCATTATGGAAACATGCTTAAAAAGATCCAGATGAAAAGACAGTCAGCGCTTCTGTTCCCAAGATGTGTCAAAATGTGAGAGGCCCACGGATAATTGCTTTCCAACATATTCTATCATTTGGATGTACTTAAAGGTATTCAAATACTATTCCACCCCCACCATTCATGAGCATTCTTTTATTAAAAACTGTTACTATCTGATGGAATAATCCTTAGGCACTGTTTATTTTTACTGGATAATTTACCACATGGAATTCTTATATAGAAGTGGTAAATTAAGTGGTTAAAGCAAACAATGGTCATTGGTGAGAGCCAATAGGATCAGGAAACAACAGATATGGATTCCAAGGACTGCAGATATTTGAATGCTCTGAAAGAGGACATATGTGTAAAATATTTTTGCAGCAGAAAATAACAAATTTGAACTGCAGGTTCAAATAACATACAACTTTAAAGAATGAAAGAATAATCTTTTTTCTTCTTAATATGAACTATGCAATAACAAAATTTAAAATAAGCTGTAACAGTACAAAATTGCACCAGTATTGAAAAAATCTTTACAAAGTCAACAAGATACTCACATAATTTTAAATAAAAAGTTTTACTAAACTTTAAAAAAATTTATCATTCCAGGCTTGTACAGATTTAACCAGAAAATGGAAATAGAAGGTAAAGAACTCTGTCTCATCTTATAAACCAAGTATGGTCTTAATAACAAATCAGATATATTTTTCTATTAATTACTGTAACAAACTACTACAGGTTTAGTTTCTGTAAGCAACACAGGTATCTGCCTGCCAAAATCAGCAAGCAAATATGGGAAAGGAAAACTAAACAACATGGATGTATTTGTATATATTCTAAACAATATTTCGACAAAAAGACTAACATGAAAATCTTAATCCATAACTATTTTATAGTCAAGAAATTCAACATTGTTAAATATCTCAGAAAAAATCTGTACATTGAATTATGATGTTAAGAGAAATATCGTATAATCATCTCTGTAGGGACAGAAAACAATAGCTACACTTCAACAATTATTTACAATATTAAAATTATTCTTAGGAAACTAGAATTAAAAGAGAATTGCTATAATTGGATAAAAGGGGTCAACAGAAACTACATCAAATATCAACCTTTGTGCCAAAATTTGAAAAGTGCTCTCTTTAAAATTAGAAACAAGAAGACAACTGCCATCCAGTGTAGAAGTCTAAAACAATCATGATAAAAAGAAACAGAAGTTCTAAGGTTCTAAAATCATTATAATTCAGAGATATAAAACTCTATAAAGAATCTACAGAATTAATAAGACAATACAGCCAGATGACTAGAAAACTGTATACTTGTAATTTTAAAGTTGGTATCATTTATCTTAGTAATCAAATACAAGATATATAAAATTACTTAACAAAAGTATACAAAGGCAAGCCAGCATAGTTGCACACACCTGCAATCCCAACCACTCAGGAGGCTGAGGCAGGAGAATTGCAAATTCAAGATCAGCCTGGGCAATTTGGCAAGACCCTATCCAAAATAAAAAAATTAAAAAGAGCTGGAATATAGCTCGGTGGTAACATTCACAAGAGCCTGGGTTCAATCCCTAGTACAGCAAAATGAATGAATGAATGAATGAATGGATGAATTTAAAAAGAAAGAAAGAGAGAGAGAAGGAAAGAGGAGCAGAGAAGCTAGCACAGTGGTAGAGCCCTTTCCTAGCATTTAGGAGGCCCTGAATTCAATCCCCAATACCACAAACACACAAACACACACGTGTGTATTTTAAATCTTTCTGAAGAAAACATTTAAAAGAATTTAGATGTTAAAGACAACCTAAATAAATTCAAATCTTTTCCATCTTCAAGGAAGACTTGTTATAAGGAAATTGATATCCTGAAATTCCTAACATGCAAATTTCATTTAAATTCAATAGGATTTTTTTCCTTGAAACTAGAGAAGCTGATTCCCAAATTTATGAGGGAAAGGAAAAGCCCAAGATCAGTTAAGACATCCTTGAGGAAAAGATAATATGACAGAATTTTCCCATGAGACATCAAAATTTCTTAAAGCTATGACAATGACAGTGGTGTTAGCTCATGAACAAAAACAAGATGGAGAGTAAAAAGCAGAGATAAATATAAATGCATTCACAAATAAGATGCTGTGCAACTGGGGCAGTAAACCAACTGGAAATGGGGTCTGTTCAATAGTTAGTGCTGTCACAGTGGATCGCTTATTTTGAAAAATACGGAACTAGACCTCTACACAATTCCCACAAACCAATTTCAGATTGGTTCAAACTTTAAATTTGAAAAGCAAGATTATTAATTTTTAGGAAATTATAATGTAATTTTCTTTATAATCTTAGAGCTAAAAACATAAATTAATGTGTATCAACATGTACCACAGCTACTCCACTCCAAGTTATTACCTAGATAACACAATGCCCCCTGGATTTGAAACACGTACAGTAGGTTTTGTTTTTTCTGGTACTGGGGATTGAACTCAGGACCTTGTGCTTGCAAGGGAGACGCAGTGCCACTGAGCTAAATCCCACAGTCATTTTTGAAACCATGTCTAATGAAAAAATACTCAGGCTTACATGATCCATAAACAGAAAATATAAGTGAATAAGGGCGGAGCTTTGTAATGGAACATGATATCAACAGTGAAAGCAAGGAAGCCTTGGAGCATATCAGAGGGTAACAAAAGATTACATATTGTGGGCCAGAGATTTAGCTCAGTGGTTCTGCTGCCTGCCACACAAGCACAAGGTCCCGAGTTCGATCCCCAGTACCAAAGAAAAAAAAAATTAAAAAAAGGATTACATATAGTGTGATTCAGTTTTACATAATGCAAAAACAAAAAGAATTACACTATTCTCTGTTAAGGAATATATTTTGGAAAACCTAAACACAACAGCAAAGGAAAAATTAAAGTCAATATTCAGCAGAGTGGTTCTCTTGGAGAACAGAAATGTGAGACAGAAACATAATTGGTAGTTCCAAATTTGTTGGTAATACTCTAGTTCATAAATCTGGAAATGATTCATTGTTTATTTTATTATTATGCTTCAGAACTCATATATATATTTTATATATTTAAATGTTTTAAAATAAAAACTTCAGAGGTTAAGTTTTACAAAATGGGTCGAGGGCCAGGGATTTAGCTCAGTGGTTCAGCTGCCTGACTAGCAAGAACAAGATCCCGAGTTTGATCCCCGGTACCAAAAAAAGAAACAAAACAAAACAAAACAAAATGTGTCAGATATTCAATGAAAGAAAGCACAATAAAAACGATAATGTTCTCACCATCGATGAATAAGCATGGTAAATATTTTGGTTTTCTTTCTTTTGAAGCACAACACACACACAGACTTCATTATCTTATTTTTCTAAATAGGATCACTTTTTTTAGTCAATTAAGACTTTCCTCATTTTATTAATATTATTCTGTGAGCATTTCTTTTCTTTTCTTGGTACCAGGGATCGAATTTGGGTCCTTGCGCTTGCGCAGCAGGTGGCGAAACCACTGAGCTAAATCTCCGGCCCAGCATTTCTTTTCTTAAATGGTGATTTAGACATAACTTTTAAGGGTTACATTATTTTCCGTTGTCCAAATCACCATATTTACCCTTCACACCAATGTTGGCGTTACGTTCTTTTTGCCTGCATTGTTAGGATTGCAGCAACATTCTTGCACCTAACCCTTTGTGTATATAACCTTGATTATCTCCTTAATATGAATTTCTAGAAATAGAATTATCCAGTCAAAGTGTACAGATTTAGGAGTCAAACTGACCTTCACTTTAGACTGTGCCCTTGGATGTGAGTCATAGCTTTGCCCCTCCAACATATTGCTGTATTAAATACCACAAAAATAGATTCTGGTAGGAGCAGTGAACCTAGTCAAGGCACAACACAATGTATTATTTGTAAAACCTTTTTCTCTTTTGTTCGTCAGACATATACATAAACATAACTACAGATCACCAGGTGTTGGCAAGAAGTCAAGAACAAAGAAGAAAACTAGCATCGTAGAGAAAAGATAAAATTCTTATGAAAGGAAAATTTAAAACAGCCATCTTCAACAGGATTCCAGGGAATACTGCATCATTAAAACAAAAGCATGCTGCTATAAAAAAAGAGTAACCAGAAAACCAGAAGATTTCCTGGAATTTAAAACAATACTTCCAGAAGTAAAATATTTTAAAACCATGATTGTGGAAGCAAAATTATGCATAGAAGGGCTGCCTGATAGGTGATCTGGAAAATAAAATCATGTCAAGAAAAATCTCCAAGAATGAAAAAAGAAAGGACAGATGAAAATTAGATGATGTCTTTGAAAATCTTTTGAATATAATACTGTATATGATGCTATACTGCACTATGTAGTATATACATATATATGTATATATTACAACTATAAATGTAATGTAATACATAGTGGAAGAATTCTAGATATTTGAACACAAAGTTGGGGCAAACATAGGCATTTTATGTATAAATATGTGTGCATATCTGTGACCATTAATTATGAGATGTCAACTTGACCAGACTAAGAAATGCCAAGGGGATTTTTAAGCATACTCTGGGTATTCCCAGTCACGGGGGGCGACTGGAGGTAGTCTGTATGGTCCTTTGCCCTTCTTCTCTGGAACTGTTTTCCTGCTTTTCTTTCTGGTCACCGTGAAGTAAGCAGCTTTGGTCCACCATACCCTACTGCCATTATTTTCCTGCCTTAGAGCCACCAGCCATGGACTGAATCCCCTAAAACCATGAAGCAAATTAAACTTTTCCTCCTTAAGTTGTGGGTGGTGGGCATTGTGTCCTAGTGATAAGAAAGCTGTTAGAGAATATTGGTACCAAGAATGCAGTCAATGCTGTAATTGTACCTGAGCAATTCGATGTCCATGTACATGTATCGAACTAAGCAGTTACATAATATCACTAAATCTCTCTCTTCCATAAGACCTTTTGTACTGTAGAATTATTTCTCACCATTTTGGAAATTATACAGATATTTGGAAATCACAAGATGTAGTTTCATATAGGCTGGATGTGTGGTTTCATACATTTCTGTGATTATAGGGACACAATGACCTTTGCATAGGTATACAGGAGACAGACCATGGTCATTTCATAATCTGGATCAGTTTTTCCAGCTTCTTCAAGAAGTGGCTAGAATTTAGATGTACAATAAAAATTCTACATAGTCTTTATTTCATCTCAAACCACTTTCCCTTTTCAGTAGTTTTTGAAACTAAGTAGTCCAGAGAGTTTCATTTACATGTCACACTCCCTGAAATGCATTTGGGTTCTTCTTACTTTGCAGTTTGTGTGTCTGATCATGGAATTTTTCTTAAAGACAGATGTTTCTTATAAGATATAAATGTTCAACTTAATGGTTCCAAAATTCTTAAAATAGGACTCAAACACCATCAAAAACCAATATTAACACCAAGAAGTCCACCAAAACTTGTGTTTTTCAAACAGAGACATATTATTCAAAGAGAAAGCATTTTAGTCTGACTCTTAGCAACCAGCAGTTAGGTTAGAGACACACGCCAGTCCTGACAAAATGAGAATAACTGAACCCCTGACGAAAGTTGTTACCTCCTGAGATGGGGATTAGGTTATGGAGGAAAGAAAAATATTAAATGAAGTGACCCTGATAAATATTGACTTTCTGGCAAGTTTGGATCTCCTCATGCTAAATAAAAATGTGAGGTTTCTTAGCTGCACTTGACCTATGAAGTCATCTCCAATAATGTTATAATAGGTTGGACAAGAAATGCAAAACAAATCAATCCTCTAACCGAGCCAAATTATTACAACAGCCTTTGACTAATTCTCTCCGTATTATGCTTTCCTTTGGCCAATTACTACTCACTTCCTCAGGATGGTTTTTGTGGCTTATAGGAATTTCAAGTCGGCAGTGTCAGAAACTTACAGAATAATAATGAGCACAAACAGTAAGTATAAACAAAACATAATCAGGCCTCATAATGCAACATCCTAATATGAGAATTGGAGGTGAAAATAGCACACAATGACTGAAAAAAGTCCAAGAAACAATAGATACAATTTCTTGGTTGGATGTAGCTTGTTAAATTATACTCTGGGAAATCTAATTTTTATGTTGCAACTCATTTCTGACTTCTTCTAAACAAAAGTCAAAGTCTAAATCTCCTCAGTATGTTCGTCTTTCTCTTATCTTAAATTGGGCCTCATTCATTTTATCGTCATTTTCTTCCACAAGAGATGACACCTGTTAATGCAACAATCCTACACTCTGTATAGTGTTAATCCCCCAAACACTTAAAAACGTGCATTTTCACTGTAAATCTGACATATGAAAGGCACTATGCTCAGTACAGGGTGTGATGTATGGAAGAGAGAATATGTATCTGATAAAACTTTGTATGTGCCTGTACTCAGAGGAATTCACCATCCAGTAGAGGAAAAAGACATGTTCCAGACATGAGACATAGGATCTTGGGTATAAACAAAGAGGGTCGATAGAAGAAGAGTGCTGTCTGCTGGGTACCAAACTAGATTTCAAAATGTGAACGCCGATATTTATGGCATGAAGTTTTTAAAAAATTCAGCCATGATCAAGTATTGTTTTGGGTCTGGAAGAGCCAGCCACTTTGAAAAACACAGTTTTGAAACTACACCGTGATGCAACTGATGAAAAATGCTCTTTGGGGTTGGATTTCGGCACTAGCCATACATGAAATTGAAATGTATATGTAACATATAGTTTCAGCCAACTGAATGTAATGCATACTTCAAAACAATGTCATTACTCCATTTACATAACACATTCTGACAATATTTTATCAAATATTGACAAAATAATTGTTGAAATTTATCAGAGAAAAAATTCCATCCCAGCATTTTTCTTTTGATAAAATGGGGGATAAAATGATGGTTTGGTTGACTGATTGAACTTATTTTTCAACACATTATGGTTTAATAGAAATATGATCCTGGCTTCATAGCCCTTCTTTTTTCAATTCAATTTATGATTTATTTTATGACTATGAGAATGTAGTAAATGAGGCCACGTATCAATGGTTTAACAATAATTTGGGGACATAATGAATGAATCATGTATTTGAATAGACAACTGTTAGGACTGGAGGAAAAGGAAATATAAAAATACAAACTAGCCACAAATCTGGGCCAGCATTCCTTCCCGATATGCCACGTGATCAGCTGTGTTTCCCTGGCAGGTCGCTTCAAGAGTTAAAAGAGAATCATGGTGAAATGTAAGACAGTCAACACTTCTTACATTCGAGTGTCTCCTCTATAGATGAAAAATAAATGACATTAGCAGAGGGTGATATTAAGAGACTTTTAAATTTTTTTTTTTTAATCCAGAGGGTAGAAAACCTAGTTTTTGTTCTGCCTCTGGGTAACTGTACCATATTGAATATGTCTAATTCTCTCTCTAGGCCTTTCTTTTAGCTCTAAGTACAAGATGGACTAGGTGATCTCTCTGGTCCCTTCTAGTTTAAAATTCTATTATTGAAAGAAAAAAATTGCCTCTAGCCTTCTGATTTGAATGCCAGGTTTCAGCTCAATATGAATTAAACTGTCTGGGTTATAAACCAACTACAAAATAAGGTTTATAATGGAAACAGCAAGTGACCCTTGACAGCTGCTCAGCCAGCAGTTCTCGCTATTGTATTCAGTTACTGCTCCTTTCCCTGGGCAGTGGCTGCCATGTTATATAACGATGACTACTGCGGGATTACTTAATCCTCCGCCTAACCCTAATTGCACAGTCTGCCTGTGGCTGCTGTAAACCCACTTCTTTCAATGACACGCTCCAGGGTAGATGTGGCAGCCATCACCAAACCCAGCCCTTGCTGGTTTAAAATAACACAGTTGTGTGAAGCTTCCAAATCCCACCCTTTTGAGAATACCCTATTTTTGCTTTTTCTTCTGACTCTTTCTAACTGCCAATGGTTTCCTGCCCAAAATGACCTAGCACTAGGAAAAATTCTAACAAATAATAAAAGAATCCGGTGCAGGTACAGTACATACTGTCCTCTGGCTCATGGCACACCCCAAGCCAGGAGCTTCAAGTGGAGACAGCGGGGAGAAGAGAGGGAAATGATTCATGTCACATACAACAGGTCTTCAGCTGAATAGGGTTGGTTCCTGTTTGGCCTTTTCATTTAGCTTGTATGTCCTTTTGTTATATAGAGACATTTTTGAAAACTGAGCAAAAGAAAAATTGCTGGAAAGCTTAGAAGACACAGAATGCATTTTTATAACACAAAATATATATGGATAGTTAGATAAATAGATGTGCACACCATCTGAAAGTTTACTAATTATAAGCAGTGTAACCTATGTTCTTCATAATATATCATTCCCTGATTGTATTTTTCATAATTTGATTTTTTCTGCTTCTATATTTTTATATTCCCATTTTAGAATGCACATGTAAGTAGAAAAAAAATAGAAATTCATCAAGTAATCTCCATTTATTCAAAGCGTGCTCAAATTAACAATAAAACTATATCGTACTTACCAATGTATATACCATTTTATTATTGTCATAAAATTTATATTTTTAAATCTTTTGTGAATAATATTTTCAATGTTATGTATTTCATTAATCATATTCTCATTCTATGCTTCTCTGATTTTAGATTGTATCCACTTGTTGTTAATATGAAGAATGATATCAGAAAGCTTTTATAGACATTTTGCCTGAACTTCTGACTATTTTGTTCCTTAAGCTACAATCCTGAAGCTACTTATATAGATTACCAATTAAGAAGTAGAATTAAAATATGAAATTATTTTCATCCACCAGCAGGAAATCCTAATGGCAAACTAATAATTCACTATAAAAGTAGAAATTATGCAGGATAGAAATAAAAATAAAACTTGTTTTGTGATCCAAAATATTTGTACACCTGGGTACTTCAATATTTCAAATCAATGTTTTAAGTATACTAAATTCTGAAAATAAGCTATCAGAAAAGAGAAAAAATTGAGTAACTACAGAAGTGATGTTGAAACAAACGATTAATGTAAACCAAGATTTGCAAGTGACAAATCAGTGAGAGGCTTGGCCTCTATGTGATTTTTAAACACCATGATATGAAAACAAAAACTGTTAGTAAAATGGAAACTTCTCACTGCTTAAATTATAGGTATACCTGCATTCAAAATCCATACTATTATATTTTTTCTTCTTTCCTCCTCTTCTAGTAGAAGAGATGATTTTTCTTCCTTCTGAAGCTAATCTTAATATTTATTGCCTAGATCCCAGCCCCTCCCTGCTTTCCGAGATTTTGTGTGTTTCTCCCTAATATCCTCAATTTAGGCAGTGTGAGTTCATGTGGAATTATTTGCACATATCCAGATGCCAGGTTGAAGTTCAATGAATGCTTTATGATATCCAAGAGGTTTCCGGTTTGTCCATCTTTGCACTATCAAGTTTGTCAGTTTTGCTCATCTATGTCCACTACAGGATCATAAGGTTTACATCCATATTTTCTCTCTTGTACTTTCCATATCTAGCAGAGCCTCCCAGAGAATAGGCACTTGCTAAATATATGTTGAGCAAATAAAAATATCATGTTACGTTCTAGTTGTTGAGAAAGGCAGTTAGTGAACATTTTGATCCTGAATAGCAAATGCTTGTAACCCACAATCTTTAAGCATATTGAAATATAACAGATACAATCTACAAATATGAGATGGGAGCACTTTAGGGCATCTACATAATAAACTATTACCAAAAAACTAGAAAAATATTTGCTACACTACATTGTCTAAGAAGGACAGAGGTGCATACCCTCTAGGAGTGATTTCTTAGACATGGTCTACTGGACTTTGAGCCATGTGACTATCATCCTGGGCTCAGCCAAATCAGCTCAGGATAGAATGGGACCAGAGTGGTTACTGGGAAGCTCTCCAGAGGCTAAAGAGGTAACTGATGCTGCAGCTCTGCCCATGGAGATTGCCTGTCCCGGTAGTTCTTACTTGGGGACAGGTCAGCAGTCAGGTCATCTGCATCATTTTCAGTGGCCACCGATCACTAGAACATTCCTGGCAGCCTTAGTGCTAACAAACTGTCCAAGCTATGAAACTGGTGTCCTTGCACCTTCTTTCTTGGGTGTCAGTATGATTTGTCAACGATTATCTAGCATCA